CGATGTGTCTTGAATCTGGACTCGGTACAATGTAAACGGTTCAGTCAGATGAAATTGTTGAAGCTGTTTTGTACCTACTGTGAAACATGCAGTAGGCTCGGTTATGTTTTGGGGCCGCTTTGCCACACCCGGCACCGGGTGTCTTGACTCATGACTGTCGAACCAAATATTTTGACTTTTGCCAAGGTTAGGGGGCATCGCTTAGCATGCATGTGGAACTGTGCCCATGCTCGCAAAGAGGAGCGACGGCGGATAGTTGGCGCGATGCGACCTTGCACCCGTGTTGACTTTAGAGTTGAATATGTAAATGACACGCTTGGTGGCAGAAACCGCATGTTTGCATAAAAGATCCATCCAACTGTATTTGGTCACGCCGTTCACCCAGGTGGGCTTCGGCAAACACAGGCAGGGTAAAAGCTCCATGTCCACACATACTGGGCTTTCAAAAAAAAAAAAAAATCTGTATTTACATGAAATCACATTTGTGAGCTCTGTAGCGCATTGTGGCCAACAGCACTAGAGTGAGAGTTACATATGGAGGAGGCGGGTTTCAAAGTAGGGTTTTAAAACAGGGACGGGGGTTGGATTTCGGGATTCAAGGCTGTTAGGGTTTCAAGACACGGAAAGGCTCTCCAATTAGGGTTTCAAAGCAGGATAAGGCTTTGAAAGTTGGAGTTCAAGCCTGGATTTGTGTTTCAAGATAGCGTTTCCGTGTTGGGTTCTCAATCCCAGGTTAGGGTTTCCACTCTTGGGATAGGGTTTCAAGTTCGGGTTTTCAATTTCGGCTTGGCTTTCTCGAGCCTGGGTGAGGGTTTCAAACAACGGTTGGGATTTTCAATAAGGTGTCGAGCTTGGCTCAGGGTCTCGAGTTGATGCGATAGCATCGTTTGTTTACTTTTGACTCTGACTGGTTTTTAAAAGTGATAATCATCACGAGCGGACGAGCGCCATGCCGGCGAGAAAATCTCATTCGTTTTTCCCGCAGTATTGCAAATGTCAAGCTTGACTCTGTTGCCGCCATCTCATCCATTTTTCTCCACTGTCTTGAGATTCAACCCCCCCCCCCCTTGCACTTGCGGGATCAACACTTTTTTTTTTTTTCTAATTAAAAACTCAACTTGTTGCCAGCGATGAACCGCCGGGCGGGTCGACGACGACAACGTCCAATGGACGGCGTGCCCCCTCGAATCATTTGGCCCACCCGACTCGACTTTGGGGCGCGTTTCTCTCTCGGTCTGTGAAGTTAACGTGGCTTTCGTGATGATCTTTCTGAGCTCGAGTAAAAGTTTTTCACACCGCAGGCGATGTTGGTCCTTGCCACGCGGCGCCAGATTAAGAGTTTAAACTTTTAACACTGAGGCGCTGGATTTGCCTCAGGTAGAAAATGTGATTTGACTTTTTGCATACGGCCTTTCTGCAGCTGCGCACTATATGACTTCACGTAGGTCACTTGTTAGTGGAGTTTAAAACTAATTTCTTAAAAAAAATAATAATTTAAAAAAAAAATTTGAAACTAGGCCTGTTTCATACGAATTTTTTTCGGTATTCATCGATACCAAGTAACCGATACCACTGGTACATGTCATGCAAAAAAAAAAAAAAAAGTTTAATTATGAAAACTTGAAAACTAAATTGTACAGCACGTTTCATTACAAGACTGTCAAATATAAAAGTTGTGAGAAATTTAAAAAGAAAAAAAATCACGCAACATAACTCCAGGCTTTGTTCCTTCTCCGATGAAAGTTCAATTTAGTCATGATTTCCTTTTTAAGTTGAGCATTTTTTTTTTTGTTCTCCGCATGACGTCTTCGGCTTTCGGGGAAGAATTGTCGCACGAGAAGAAGCGCGCAATAATCAATTGTTTCGCGTGGGTTTTTGTCATGGCTCAAGGGCACTTTTTGTTTGGCGCGAGGTGTTGACATGAAAGCGTTTCCATTTCTTTTGGATTGCTTGGAACAGAATACAAATGGGATATTTGGTTGGCAGCAAAAGCGCCGGCGCGGCGCGAAAAAAAAAAAAAAAAAACGACACGAGGCTCAACTTTGCCAAGGCTTAGTCTTGTGGAAAGAAGGGAAATGATTAAAAACCTTATTTGCCGCGTTGGGGCGTGCGCCGGTGGGGGCCGCGTTGGGCCACTGATGTATGACGACCATCATCCGTCACTTAGGGCCTTTGCGGCTCGAGCGATATTGCGTTCTTTGAGCTTCGTGGCGGAGGGAGAAGAATTTCAAACCAGAGTTTGGGTTTCAAATGGAGGTTTCGAACCAGGAATGGGGTTTTCAAGGAGTCGGGGATTAAAATGAGCAAAGTCGTCTGCGTTAAAGGGCAATTTGTAACGCCAAGCGAATAAAAAGGCCTGTTGATTGCTTGTTTAGCCAGCGCCGAATTGCAGCTTGTCTCAGTCACCTGCATGATGTTTGCTAACATGCTCGCTGAGATAGCGTGCGGGAAAAAAACCAAAATCAAAAACATGAAATGTCTTCTGGAGTCAGAGGAAGATAAAAGCACAATTACCCTGGTGCATTTTCACCCCCAGGGTGATTTTTTTTCTTTTTTGACGTGAATCTAATGTAGGCCCACGGTGACATTTTTCGCTCTGCTCGCAAAGTAAAGTTAATGAACGGAAAGCCAACAGAATTGCGCCTTTGAGTCCAGCGCTATAATTAAAAAGACGGCCCTTTTTATTATTTCCCCCCCCCCCCCCGTTCTTCTTTTGTTCCCCATACAGAACAAAATATCCCTTTTCATTGTCCCCCACCTGTGATCTTCCTGGCCATTACGCGCTCACGCTGGATTCAAAAAGGGGAACCCGACGTCGACCGTTCAATTTGAAAAGAAGACATCTTGCTACAGTCGAGCTGTGCACATCAATCGGGTAACAGGGTTTAAAAAAAAAAGAAAAAAAAAAGCTCCTTGTCGATGCAGATTAAAAGTAGTCAGATGGCTGCAAAGTTTTACTTCTTCAACTTGATGGAAAGAAAGTTCCAGAAAGGAGTCGTCAAGAGGTCGGGGTGGGGGGTGGGGGGGGGGGGGTTGGTAGGCTAGGTGATCATTTGCCGGTTTCAGACCAGGGTTAAGGTTCCAAAATCAACGCTAAAGTCAAGGCAAATTACTCATCTACTTCAATTGGAAGCTAGGATTAGGGCTTGGAGTTGGGGTTTTCAGACAGGTTTAGGGTTTAAAGTTTGGGTTTCAAAGCAGGGTTTCAAACCATGGTGAGAATACCAAGTTTGGGTTTCAAGTTTTGGTGAGCGTTTCAAACAGGGGTAGGGTTCCAAATGAAATTGTCAAATCTGGATTATGTTCTTAAATTGGGGTTGCCAGGGTGGGGTTTCAAGGCAAGGTAAGTTTGGGTTTCAAGCTTTCGTATCAAAGTAGTATTTCAAATTAGGGTGTGAAGCCTGTGTTAGAGTTCCGAAGTAAGGTTAGTGTTTCAAACCCAAGTTAGGCTTTCAAACTAAGGTTAGGTTTCAAAGTAGGGTTTCAAGCCATGATAAGGATTACAAGTTAGAGTTTCAAGCTTGAGTTGGGGGTTCATATGAGAGTGCGCGCAGCCTGGGTTACGGGTTTTAGTGATGATTACAAACCATTGTCAGTGTTGGGTCTTCAAGCCGTAGTTAGGGTTTCAAATGAAGGCTTCAAGCTTGAATCGGGGTTTCAAAGCAGGGTCATCATTTCAGCGTTCAAGGTCTCAAACAAGTTTGGTGTTAGAAAAACATCGATCACCCCGAGCAGCTTGGTGTCCCCCAAGGCAATCTCCCAAGTCCCCTCCTGTTCTTTCCTTCTGGTCTCCCTTTTGCCACGCGAATGATTTCAGAGCTGATATGTGCAAGCTATCACTTCTTATCGATCGTCTGGCTGCTGTCGGGGACTGGACGGCTGCAGCCCCCCCCCCTCCCGACCCCGCTCTGTGAAAATAATCCATCAAATGCCCCCGACAAAGTCGGAGGTCCTTGCTTGGAAATTATTGTCCCCAAATAACTCCCAACATTATAAATGCTCATCCATGCATTTTTCTCCTCTGTTGTATTGACCAAGGTGTTCCGTTTTTTTTTTTTGCCTCACTCAGCAAATTTTCCCCAGTCGGTTGCTGGCGCTGCCACTGCTGCTACACGACAGCATATTTCGTGTTTGTTTTCATTTTCTTGCTTCACGTCAACGACCGGGAAATGCATCCCGAAAGCACTTTCGCGTCCACAGTTGACCCCCCGCAGTCAAATGCGACGGTCAACCAAAATGGCAGACAAAAGTTAGCACTTGGCGCCGCCAGATAAACATGAGCAATTCATGATTGCTGTAGTTGACAAAACAGGCATTTGAAGCGGGAGTTCAGAACATTCTGCCATCTCATTAATTTTAAAAAATATCACTGAATCGATGAATTGGTAGTGTTTGCCGGAGTGGAATGAGGAAATTTAGCAAAGTGCTTTTCCTCTTTGGAAAAAAAAAAGGCAAATTTTATACAACAATTCTCAGAATGTAATTTTTTTCTCATCGAAAAAAAAACAACTTTAGCACTAGTGATTTTTTTTTTAGGACATTTGCAAAAAAAAAATGTTTTTTTTCCTCAAAAGATATGATTTTATTATTTTTTTAAATCTCTCGGAGCCCAACAACACACGCCGAATGTCCGACAAAGGTTAAAAGATGATTTCCCAAAAAGCTCAGGACACCATCACACCACTCTGACCACCCGCCCCGGCGTCCTTTCACACTCCCGCAGCAAATGTGCCATTTCCCGATAAAAGCGGCGCCGGCGTCGCAGGGGCCAGGAACCTTTTTTGGCCCCGTCGGCCGACTCGCTCGCTCACGCTGGACGCGAGCCCGGCGCACGTGGAGAGCGTCGGCGCTCTTCCGTATAATAAGAGCGGCTGAAAGCGCCATCGTGCAAAGTAAGCAGCGCCTCGGTTCAAAAATATCGCCGTGGGTGAGGGCGAAGGGGAGTGGGCTCAGTCGTTTCAAAACAGCAACGAAAAAAACAAAAAATCCTTTTCTGGCAGGTAACGTTTTTGTGGTGAGTTTGGCCTTCGCCGACCTGGTGGTGGCGTTCTACCCGTACCCTTTGGTGCTCTACGCTCTCTTCCATGACGGATGGTCGCTAGGCAACACGCAGTGCATGGTAAGGCTCCCAACTCGCGTTCGCTCCATATTAGCAGTGGGTATAAAAAGTCTACACACCCCTGTTTTAGTGATATCAAGCAATGCAAGCCGAATAAATCATTGCAAAATTTTTCCTGCCATGAATGCGACTTCTTGGTCACTCCTGTGAAAAATGCATCTCTCCGTTTTTGTCATTTTTTTGGATTTTTTTTTTTTTTGTTCGAAATGCAAATACCTCATTCACATAAAAATGACAAAAATGGACATACGTGTTTTTCACAGGACAGCGACGATATGTGTTGCTTGGATGTATTCGGTGTCATTTGTAGTTAGTTTGGACAAACTGACATGTTTTCTTGACAAATGCTGTTTTCTACGATTTGAAATATCTCAAAAAAATGATCATTTTACTCTCAATGCGGTTTTCCAAAAAGTATTAACTGTTGGGTGTTTTTTTTCTCTTTCACAACATTGCAACTTTTTCTAAAAAAAAAAAAAAACATTGTTTTTTTTTTATGGCCTGTTTTTTTTTTTATTACTTTTATCTTGAGAAAACAACAACTTTTTTTCCTTAAAAACAACTTAGATTCTGAGTTTTTTTTATGAGAAAATAAAAACACGAAAGAAAAATGTCAAAAGAAATCTCAGAAAATTTCAACTTTATTTTTGCAAGGATGCCACCTCCCTCCACCCCCAAAAATAACTTTATTCTTTAAAAATGAAGACTTTTTTTTAATATAAAAAAAATCCTGACTTTTTAATCCCCTCCAAAATGCTCCTTTTTGCAAGATTAAAATTGTCTCAGAAAAATTAGTTTCTTCTTAAAAGAATGCAACGTCTGTCTTAAAAAAAAAAAAATCAACAACAAAAAACATGACACCTTTGAAAAACTTGACTTGAACTCTCGTAAAGTGTCAAAAAAAAAACCCCAAAAAAAAAACAATCTGACAGAACGGTTGCGCGCGCTCTTGACTGTACTTGGTGCTGTTTTGCGCTCAGGTGAGCGGCTTCCTGATGGGCCTGAGCGTGATCGGCTCCATCTTCAACATCACGGGCATCGCCGTCAACCGCTACTGCTACATCTGCCACTCCTTCTCCTACAGCCGCCTGTACAGCTACCGCAACACGCTGCTCTTGGTGGCCTTAATCTGGCTGCTGGCCGTGGTGGCCATTGTGCCCAACTTCTTCGTGGGCTCGCTGCGCTACGACCCGCGCGTCTACTCCTGCACCTTCGCCCAGAACGTCAGCAGCTCCTACACGGTGGCCGTGGTGGTGGTGCACTTCCTGGTGCCCATCGCCGTGGTCACCTTCTGCTACCTGCGGATCTGGATCCTCGTCATTCAGGTCAGTTGGTTTTTTTTTGGTTAAGTGTGGTGAGAGAAAAGGCAATTGGAATCTTCACAGGAGGGAAGAAAAAAACAAAAACAAATGACGATTCTGGTACAAAAGTCAGAATCCAAGCTGCAGATGCAAGCATCCGTAAATAATCCTCAGCTCAGTGAGCCAAATAACAACAGAGTCCCTCCGGCCTCCCGCGATTGATCCAAACTGGAAGTCTTCTGTGGCACGCGGAAATAACGACCTTTTAATTTGTGACCCTTCCGTCGCACGAGTCAGCATAATTCTGCAAATGCCACAACACGCCGTTTAAACCCTGCCTGACATGTTCACATTTCAGCTTGACCATGTTGATCCGTAACGAGCCAAAATGCAACGCTTTCCTTTACCTGCATCTTTGAGCACGTGTGCAAATGTCAGCACACACGTGCAGAAAAATCAGGCAATGTCTTCAATTCTACTGTTGCTAGAGTCAAAATATGATCTGAGATACTCTAACTAACAGCTTAGATTGATGTAAAATCATCCGTGACAATTAGTTTAGATGGGCATGAACACGAATAAGACTGAGATAATTTAACCCAAAAAAAGCCAAATAAAAGCAATGCACTCACCCAGAGTAAAAGTGAAAAAAATGCTAAAATACCGATTTGAAGTCTCATTTTTTTTAGGAAAAAAAATGTCCTTTTAGAACTACAAAGTCGTGAACAGAACACCAGATTTGTTTTTAAATTTAGACCCCCAAAAAAATCATAAACTTACGCCCCCAAAAAACATTTTAACGTTACAAGAAAGAAAAAAAAAATTAAAGTTAGACTTTCCTT